CATGAAAGATGCTTGGGAAAAAAGTCTATAACCAAAGGCAACATTTGAGATAAAGCAGCACATCTGTCTCTCTGATACTGACCTTTTTTTTTTTTTTTTTTTTTTTTTTTAGTTTTTCTAGAGTTTTCCTCTGTCATTTCATTTGGGGCCTGATTCTTTGTCTTCTCATTTTGGAGGCCCCAGGTATTTGATTTCATGTATTAGAAGAGCTGTTACATGTGTTTGGCTTAGTAGAGTGTTCTGATATGATATGTGTCCTATAGGGTCCAGTGGCACAGCCTCCCCTATCACCCAAGGTGGGTACTCAAGGAGCACTCACCATGTGAGCTGTGTACACCCACCTGTTGTAGTTGAGCCTTGATTGCTGTTGGCAAGTCAATGGGAGGGATTTACCCAGGCCACTGAGCTGCAAGGACTGGCTGAGACCAGTGACCACCAACCTCCAACCACCATGGAGGATCAGCTATGCAGACCCCTACCCCAAATATCCAAACTTACTTAAGCAGGGCTCTGGTGTCCACTGAGTCTGCCCATTGAGTGTGTCCCTTGTAGAGGTACTTGGGTGGCCTGAAGCTATCCAATGGATACGTTGTCTTTGGGACCTCCCAGGAAGTATAGGCCAAGGTCAGCAACTATTTGTGTTCTGCCCACAGCCATGTGGCATAGGCAACAGAGCACTCTGCAGATGGCTGCTGTTAATACTTGTGCTGGGTTTGGGGGTGCCCAAGTAAGGCCAAGTTGTGAACCAAGGCCAGCTGTTGCTAGTGCCATGTCTGGGGCCACTTAACCAGAGGTAAGGGACTCACTGAAGCCAGAAGCTACAGTTTGAGAGAATTTAGGAAAATCTGAAGCATGAGACAAGACAAGACATGTGTATGGACAAGCCACTGGAAACAACTTGGGTGGCCCCAAAAGTTGGGTGGGGTGGAGCCTCAAAGGAATCACCAGGGTGAGGCAAACTTTATGAGCCAGGTTGGTGGAGTCTCAGATACGGCACCTTCCTGTTGGCTGAGGGGCAGGGCTCAGAAAAGGAACAATGGCCTCTGCCAGCACTTTTGTCTGGGAGAAAGCTGACCCCAGCTCTCACCCTGATGCTAAGAAATTCAGTTTCTCCCCAGATGTTTCTTATGCCTTTATTTGCTGCCCTCACACTGGAGCTCAGAATTAGTGAGTGTAAGTTTGTGCATGGGCCCTTTAAGAGGAACTGCCTGGGACTTTGTTTCCCTCTTTCTTAGCCTCAGTCCCTGCTGGTTTTTACAATAAGATGTTATGGGGGCCTTTCTTCCTGGCACTACAACCTTTGGCTAGGGCTGGGACTCCTTGCTCCAAAGATATCCTTCCACTCCTCCTATTTGTAGGACTTCCATTCAGCTTGATTTCTGACAGTTCTGAATGATAGTTTGCTTTGTAGTTTAGTTGTAATTTTGATGTGGTTGTGTGAGGAGGCAGGTACTGTGTTTTCCTATGCTTCCATATTCTAGAATATACTTTACAATGGCTGGCTAGTTGGAGCAGAGAAAATATTTTATGATGAGATTTTATTCCCCAAACTTCTTACATCACTTTATTCTAAGGCTTGCCCTGCTATAATTCAAAGTTGGAGTCCCAAAAATTATGTAATAGATATCTACAATATGACATGTGCTGAGAATCTGTAGCATACAGCCATATTTTTATGTATATATATATATAAAAAAAGACTCAAAAAGTGTGTGACAGGGATGCGTCTCAGGTTTAGCAAGGATAAAACACATAGGTATGCTATCTATGGGTTAGGAAAAGGTTCGTAGGTTAATACACCTAAAGTTGATTTTAAAAGGCAGACAGAAACTACTGTGAAGAGAAGAAAGATTGTCCAAGGGACGAAGCAGAGATAGAAAACTGTGAAAGACACACTACCTTTCAGGAGCTACAAGTAGTTTGGCATTACTAAAACAGAAAATGTGATGGAGAGAGTTGCTAGAATGAGGTACTTGAGAGTTTTAGAAAAGTCACTGGCTCTATTAAATAGCTTGAAATGTAATGTCTTGACAAGTTATTTTTAAATTGTGCCTTATGGTGACCACTCCAAAGACCTCAGCAACTAGTAAGTTGTATTCTGGCTGCATCTCTTTAACTAAAGCAGCTCAGTTTCTATTGATCAATATTCATTTACATTGACACCTAATATTTTATGTAAACCCATTTTTTAAAAAGATTTTATTTAGAGAGAGGGGAAGGGAGGAAGAAAGAGAGGGAAAGAAATATTGATGTGTGATGGTTGCCTCTCACACACTCCCAACTGGGAACCCAGCCTGCAACCCAGGCATGTGCCTTGACTGGTAATCAAAACAGCAACCCTTTGGTTTGCAGGCTGGTGCTCAATCCACTGAGCCACACCAGCCAGGGCCTACATAAAGCCTTCTGAAGCTAAAACCAAAAATCTAAATTTATGCTATATATAGTAAGAAGCCGGATTTTTCCTTTTCTTCTTTTTATTTTTTAAATTAAATATATTTTATTAATTACACTATTACAATTGTCCCATTTCACCCCCCTTTATTCCCCTCCAGCCTGCACACCCTCTCCTACCCGCATTCCCCTCCTTTAGTTCATGTCCATGGGTCATACATGTAAGTTCTTTGTTTTCTACATTTCCTGTACTATTCTTAACCCCCGCCCCCTGTCTATTTTCTACCTACCATTTATGCTATATATTCTCTGGGCCTTTTCCCCCTCTCTCCCTCTCCTACTCCCCTGCTGATAACCCTCCATGTGATCCACATTTCTGGGATTTTGTGTGTTCCTGTTCTATTGTTTGCTTAGTTTCGTTTTTTGTTTTTGTTTTAGGTTCAGTTATTAATAACTGAGTTTGTTGTCATTTTTAGACTTTTTTTTTAACCAGAGGATTATCATGATCAGATTTAGATTTTAAGTAGGTGTCTCTGGGAGTCCTTGTGGATTATGAAATAAAGGCCAAGACTAATGGCCAGTAAACCAATTAGCAGGTTGGGCCTAAACCTTAATGACTTGCTTGAGTGACCAAAATTACAACAAAAATTTAAGATTAATTTTCTGATTATTTGATTGTATGCCTCCAATATCTTCTTCCCTTTGTGTTATAAAATGTATGCCCCTAAGCCCTGGCTGGTGTAGCTCAGTGGATTGAGCGCGGACCTACAAACCAGACAATCGCGGTTCGATTCCCAGTCAGGGCACATACCCAGGTTGCAGGCTGGTTCCCTGAAGGCCAATTCCCAGCAGGGGATGCATGAAAGGCAACCATACATTGATGTTTCTCTCCCTCTCTCCTTCCCTTCCCCTCTAAAGATAAATAAATAAAATTTAAAAAAAAATTTAAAAAAAAATGTATGCCCCTAGAATTTCATAACCGAAGCAAAAATAAATACAAATATCAATGTTTATACAAGAAAACAGTTGGGGCAGAAAAACAAATACAAATATTAATACAATATGTCCGTGTTTTCATAGTTCTCAGATTATCAAACTCCCCTAGCCAGTGGAGGTACTAGATGCTCAGTTTTGATTCCTATATTTTCTTTGACAGAGTTGTCTTGGAAGTGTTGGGTCGTATTCCGAAGGGATTGAGTTGTGGTTTCCTGGGACAGTGGCAGAAACTGGGACAGTGTCTCTAGGACTTACCAGGCCAGCACTGGTTCTTCACCTGGCTCAGGGCTTCCAACAGGAGCTGAGATTCAGGCCCCATGCACAAGTGGATTGGTGGCTCTGTCAGGCTCCTCTGTTCTCATCCTGTTTGTCTGTCTCTATCACAGAGGAAGAATTATCATCACATATGTGTGTCTGCCCGACATGTATGTGGTCTACCAGGTAGGACCCTGGATGTGCACCCTTGGTGCATGTATCTCCCCTGAGAAGACTCCCGAGGTCTTTATCTGTCAGCACATACAGACCCCTGCATCCACCCTGAGCTGCTCAGCTTCCCTCATCCATGTGGACCAGGATTCGAGGATGCATCTACTCTCCATGGACCTTAGAGTCTTTCCCAGGTCCAGGCAATTTCCCCAGTGCTCTGATCAGTAGCCAGGAAAATAGATCCTTGAAAAATTGTGCAGGAGGTGCTGTGGGGGGACCTCCTAGCATGAGCACTGCCAGGGGCACCAGTGCACCTGTGGAACTAGGATGGGTCCTGCACACTGCTCCCCAGTGTGCCTCCCAGAGGAGGGGCCTTTCCCCCTTCCCTCCAGGGGGTCAGCTGGGGCCTCTGCTTCATCGCTGTCTCCAAGGCTGGTCACCACCAGACCAGAAGCCTGCCAGCCTGAGGGTGACAGTGCTCTGTCCCCAGTGTGGACAATGCATGTGTTCCCGTTGGAGAGGTTGGGCATCTGTAGAGACTGGGAGTGCATGCACACCCTCTGTCCTTTTAGAAAACAGGGACTCTTGAGAGGTTGCTGCACCACAGGCATGTGGCACTTCTCTCTGGCTGTGTGTTGTGAGGAATGCTCTCCAGCTTGCGGTTTGTCCTTCCAGATCTGCGTTTTCTCACTTTATTTGGGCACAGGATGGGCCAGCCATTGCCTGACTTGGTTCTGGCCCTCAGGTCAAACCTAGCACAGTATCTCTACCCTGAGATTATGCACACACTTACCAAAGTGGATTCTTTTTTATATTTGATCTCTAATCCCTCAGGCATTTTCCTTTTAAACGACAAAAATATGTGAGCAAACAGAAAAATGCACTTATTCTAACATTCCACTTATAGGAAATGTGTAGAACAGGTTAAAAAAAGAGACAGAAGGCACATGAGGGGATGTCGGGGGCAGAGCAGTGGGGAGTGAGTACTTTTGGCCCAGGGTTTCCTTTAGGGGAAATGGAACGTCCTGCAGCTGGTCAGTGGTGAGGCTTGCACAGTGTTGAGAATATACATCATGCTCAAAACTAGCACAATTTACAATATAAACAATAATATTTAATTTTTTAAATTAATCTTGCCATGGAGGACAGGAATATATAATTGAAGAATATAAAGGGATGAGGTCAAACAGGTGGGACAAAAACTTCACATGGGAGAGGAAGAGCCAGAGGAACAATACCCTGCTCTAGAAGTGGCCCAGGTGCATTTTACAGAAGTAGCTCCTCCCCTGTGGTGGGAACCAGGCCAGATTCCAAGGAGGATTCTTCAGGCAGGTGGGATGGGGCCTCCCTCAGATCAGCAGATGCTGCACAGCCTGGCCATGACTGCACAGCTGCAGCTAGAGTGGCTGCTGGATATTGAATGACCCCTGGTGATGGGTAACCCTCCTGGCCTGGAATGTCGTCCTGGTCTGACCCTGCATCCAGCTCCTCCAGATGTTGGACAGCGGCTGAATCAGGAGCCTGCTCTGCCTCCTGGATTCCTACTAGAGTTGTGAGAAAAGAAAAAAATCACCCTCGTGCCTGCATTGCCATTTCTTAACAGACAACACAGCCAGAGCCTCCATAGAAATGACAGCCCAGGACCCACCCCAGGATGTCCTCCCCATGGACAGCATAGCCAACGGGTGCTCCAAGTACGGTCTCACACCTGGGCAGCCTCTGTGGGTGCTCCCTGTGTGTCTGACACCAACCCCTCCCTATAAGCTTACTTTTACCTCCACCCACCACCCCACACCCAATTCATCCACCTTCTCACCCTTGGGCTCGACCTCCTCTGTCTCCATGTCATTTGACCCAGTTGCAGAGATGTGGCCACCACGCTCCAAGATGAGTTCTGAAATCTTGAGTGGCCTGTGGAGCCTGGATGGCTTCTTTGGAGGTATCCTTTTATGGCCAACCAAGTTTAGAGGTTCTACAAACCCCTGCATGGCCACTGTCTCACTTGGCCTGCTATGGCCCTCTGGCATGTGGCCCACCTGCCCTTCACTGGTGGACTTGGGGCAGGGTTTTTCATCAATAAGCTGCTCCTCCTTAGCTGGTGCTAAAGGTGGGAAAGGAGAAAAGATCACCCCCCTGCATGCATTTTCCTCTGCCCCCAACAGACAGAACACAGCCAGAGCCTTCCAGAAAAGCCGCAGCCCAGGGGCCACCACAAGACACCCTCCCTGCAGACAGTCCAGCAGATGGGGTGGGGGGGGGGGTTTGGATTCTGGTCTTCACTCCAGGGCAGCCCCTGTGGGTTCTCCCTGTGTGTCTGGCATCAACCCCTTCTTATAAGCTTATTGTACCACCACCCACCACCCCACACCCACCTTTTCCACATTCTCACCCTTGGGCTCAGCCTCCTTGGTCTCCATGTCATTCGACCCAGTTGCAGTAATGTGGCCACCAAGCTCCAAGATGGGGTCTAAAATCTTGAGTGGCCTGTGGAGCCTGGGTGGCTTCAGAGGCGGAGTCCTTTTTCCCCCATCCATGTGCCCTGGATCCCCAGATCCCTGCATGCCTACTATCATGTTGGGCCTGCTGTGGCCCTCACTGGTAGGGGGCACATACCCCTCAGTGGAGGAGATGGGGCCTGGGTCTTCCTCAACCACCTGTTTCTCTTCCTGGACCAGCCTTGAGCTCTGCAATGGAAACGACTGGTAGCTGGTTCTGAGGCCTCAAGCAAGCACTGTCGGGTCCTACTTGCTGCTATTTGTGCCCACTGTACCTTCTGCTCCCGGACAGGCCAGCCCAGTGTCTGCACAGACCTCCACCCAGGGGCAATGACATTTACCTCCTGGCCTTGAACCTCAGGCAGAGGATGACATCATGCTCCACATGCACCTAGGCAGACTTCACCTGGGGTTGAACATGACCAGCCCACCAGGCTTCTCACCATCCTCAGCCTGTTCCTGCATGGGGAATCCCCTTACGCACACACACATGCATACACATGTAGGTGACATAGGGTTGCTCCGATGGGATCTAAGTGGGGGCCTGGCCCAAACAAAACTACCTTAGGCTCCCTGTGTGTTACCTCTCTGTTCCACCATGAAAAAGGCCACAGGCATCTGTACTGTGATTGGACCCAGTGGCGGCTGCAGTGGAACTTACCATAACCTCCTCTTATTTTGATGCCTTGGCCTTGGGATATGGGCAGACAGCAAGAAAACATCCTGCTGGATGAAATTGCTCTGCCTAAGTGAGCTGGGGAGAGGCAGTTTGAGAATGTGGCTGCCTGGTTACCAGGGTTCCAAGTTCTGCTGGGCTCTGTTATCAGGAAGTGAGGTCACTGCCTGGGTCCTCTACCCCAAGTGTCTCTTCAGACAGGCAGTGACCCCTGTCTGAGGAACCCTCCCCCAAGGGTTATTCCCCTTCACCATAAGATCCAGCAATCATGCTGCTTGGTTTTTACCCAAAGGAAGTAAAACTTATGTCCACACAAAAACCTGCCCATGAAGATGTATAGCACTTTACTCATAATTGCCAAAACCTAGAAACCACCCAGATGTGCTTCAGTAGGTGAACTAATAAATAAACTGGTACCAGACAATACAATGTTATTGAGCACTAATAGGGGAGATCAAAGAGGAAAAATATTCTTTCAAAACCCTCCTTATGAGGGCTTTTCCCTAATAATCCCATGGTGAGAGCCCTACCCTCATGGCTAAATTACCTTTTTAAAGGCTCCATCTCTAAGAATATCACATTGGGGGTTAGGGTTCCAGCAAGTAAGTACACTGCATAGCAGAACCTAAAAGTGTTCTAAAAAATAAATTCTATTTCCAATAATGGGAAAGAAATGAAATCTGTTATATGGAAAACTGGTAAAAGTACATTTCTTTGCTATCAACTTATTTTATAACTGCAGGTGTATAATACTTACTTAATGCAGTCAATGAATAAGAACTATGAGGTAACAAAAATATGCAGTCAGAAGTTATGGTTGGGTTTATGATTTGAGAGTGAGCATCCAGATTATATGTTTTTTATTTTGTGTTTATCCGTATTGTTTCTGAATAAATATTTGATTACAGAAATAAGAATTGCATTCCCTTAATTTAACTGACACAAAAGCTTGAAGAATAGATGATAGAAAACTGTTGCTTCAAAGTTGAATTGCTAAGAATGCTCACATTTCTAAGCATAAACAAAAGTGTTATAGAAAGCAGGCAAAATTTATACCACGCTATGTTAGTCCCTCACTTGTTACAATATCCCCCTCCCTTATCTTCTGGGGGTACATTCCAAGACCCCCAGTGGATGTCAGAGACCATGGATAGTACCCAACCCTATATGCACTATGTTTTTCCCTACATATACATACCTATGATGAAGTTTAATGTATAAATTAGGCACAGTAAAAAATCAACAATAATAATTAATAGTAAAACATAACAATTATAGCAATAATCTGTAGTAAAAGTTATGTCCATGTAGTCTCTCTCAATCTCTAAAAATACCTGTCTTAGTGTGCTGTACTCACCCTTCTTATGATGATGTGAGATGATAAAATGCCACATTAAGTGAAGGACATGCACATTTTCACTTAAAGTCAGTGCTTTACCACTTCTTGGTGTCATGCCGGAATTGTCAGCATCACTTCTTAGGGACCCATGATTAAATAAAATAAGTGTTATTAAATACAAGCACTAGGATCCAATGTCAGTCAGTCTGAGCACAGAGGCGACTAATGAGCATCTAATGGTGGATAGTGTATGCGGTGTGGATACTCTGGACAAAGGGAGGGTTCCTGTCATGCTTAGGATTAAGAGAGATGGCAAGAGATTTCATCACACTACACAGAACAGCATGAAATTTAAAGCGTATATGTTGTTCATTTCCAGAATTTTCCATTACTACTTTTCAGTGGCAGTTGACTGTGGATAACTGAAACCACATAAAGCAAAAGCATGATGAGGGAGGGAGGACTACTGTACTTCACAATTAGCTTTCACATGCTGTGTAGAGCTGGGGAATCCCAGGGAAGAACATGAACGGAATCAAACACACTTAAGCTAAGCAAGTGTACATTTAACACATTTGCTGAAGGTTTCACAGACTAATCCAGGAGGAGACTTTTGGGCAGGTGAAGAGTGGGGCTAAAAACCAGCCTGTGCTTTGTTCCCCAAGCCATGTGCCCTGCACTGAGCTGCACCTGCCCCCACACAGGCACCATACAAAGATAATGAGGCTCTAGCCAGCCAGCAGTGTGAAAGGTACCTATGAATTCAAGCAAACAACTCAGTTTTATATGCACAAGCTTAAATCTTTTAGAGGAGTATGTCCAAGTTTAAACTTTGCTCATTAATTGATAATTTACAAGGTCAGATGCATGCACAGTAATTCAGAGAAAATTTTATTCAATAGTCTACAAAGATCCAAGACTCATGGCTATATAAGCTAATGTGGTGGTGGTCTGTAATGTGTTGAAATTGAGTACATAACACACCTAGCAACAGGGCCTCCATGTAACTAGAGTGTGCCAAGGAGCAAATGCAAAGTGAGACCCTGGAGACCCTGAACACATGGTAGAGTTTGTGAGCAATAGATGCTTTTGTTCACACACCCCTAATAGAATGTGTGCATCACATGAAATATTTTTGATTTGACACCTGAAATTTTTCATAAGTTTACATTTTTTAACTTAGAAGTTGAAAATATTAAACATTTTCAAAAGTGGAATAAGTAAAGATTGACTTCATTGGAATGACATTTTCCTGATACAATTAAAAAATAACAACCTAGTTTACTATTACTTTATTAAAGCACACTGAATTTGAAAGCAGTGAATTTAAATGTTTATTTTCATGGGTTGTGTTGTATTTTTTTTTAATCTGAAAACACCTGGTAGCCCCTCAGACTAGTTTTATTTAAGAAAGTCAGTGTCACTAACTCAAATTGACTTTATTTTTCTGATTTTGGGTCATTTCAACATTAGCCCAAATACCCCTTTTCTGAGAGCTCCCCATCAACCTTGACAAGGAGAGGAAGTGCTAAGGGTGAAGGGACCAGAATTAACCACTGAAGGGGGTTACTTAAACTGAAACACATATTTTTACTTTGTAATCACCCTTGACATGAGCAGACAGGAGGCTTGCGGGCTGAGGGGTATGCTGCCCCTTAGGAAGTGAGAGGAGAGGTGTTATGACAGCAGCCTCATCGGGGGCATTTCAGTTTGGCTAAAGAGCACACATAGCATGTAGAGAATCTGGAAATGGACCCTTTTAGAATGATGTGTGCACAAGGATCCTGTAGAGTTTTCAAGTGTCCTCAGGGCCATGGTACCCCAATTGGGCAACCACAGGTGTAGACTAATGTTTCAGAAGTTGTACCGCAAATAAAGGAGGGGAAAGAAATGTAGAGATTTCTGTAGAAGGATCTAGGGTCAAAAGAAGCCTTTTATTAAAAGATGGAAGCTTGTTTGTATCATGAGGGGAATGGCCTGTGAGAAAGAAGACCTAGGTGCCAGCTCTGGGAGTGGAGTGAATCCTGAAAGGGCTGGAGGGAAGAATCCCCAAGCAGGTGGGAGCTGAGACACACGCTCCCCTGTGCTCTTCCCATGAATCCTGCTTATGTTTAGCTAACATTTGATTTTTCCTTGTTTATAGCACATTTCCTCAACTACAATGTAAATTCCATGATGATAAGGACTTTTCTGCATTGTTCCCCACCCAATGACCAACACTCAGGAAGTGCCTAGGACATAAGTGCTCAATTGTGTTGGATAAATGATAAAAAGAAACAAAATGGATGCAGATACAGATGTAGATTTGATTTGATGGTGAGAGGATTAGGGAATTCCCTCAAAGTTTCCTTTTATTTTCTCAAAGTGTGGTCCTAGGGCATGAGCTGTTAGGGGACATTTGTCAGGAAGAGGGGGACGGTGTTGAGACCAGTCTCATCTCCATTAGAAGGAAGGCAACCCTACTGGAGGGACAGGGAGTTGGTGGCAGTGCTGAGCACCCATCTGAGGTGCGTGGTTGAGTCATTTCAAGTCAGCAGGTCAGCTCAGTTGGGCTCTGACTCCTGGTTTTCTGGCATCTAGTGGAGCCATTTATTGAAAAACCACATGAAGACTTCCGCCAAGATGGAGGTATAGGTGGATGTGCCGTGCCTTCTCACACAACCAAGTTTAGGGACAACTAAATATTAGCATCAGAAAACACAACCAGAACACGGAAAATTGAACTTTTCGGAAGTCCGTTAACAACAAATTCTTCAGCCCGACCTGTAAGGGGCGAAACCGGAGTCTGGTGAGGGGTTGCACAGGAGGACTCCGGTCGGACGGACCCAGGCGCGGAATCCAGACGCGCGAATCCAGACGCACGGGTTCCAAATGCAGGATTGGACCTAGTGAGCCACCGAGCAACCCACCAGGTGAGCGACTGCAGAGGAGACAGTGGGGAGGCGGTGCTGCGTGTTGACTGCGGTTGCCTATCTGCGCGCGAGCGGACAGGCGAGGGAGTGGGCGGTTGGACAGGCGCAGCGGATAGAGGGCACCGCCATTTCCCCGCTCTGACCACGCCTCCACATACAGCGTCACAACCCAGCGACCTGGGAGTCCAAGGCGCCGCTTCTCCCACTTAAAGGGCCAGAACAGACCAAAAATGTCGCAGGAAGACCTCAAAGCCCCAGAGATAAATCTAAGCGACGAAGAAATAGCAAAACTCTCAGACACACAGTTTAAAACACTGGTCATCAGGATCCTCACAGATCTGGTTGATTATAGCCACAAATTAGAGAAACATATGAAGGCTAAACTAATGGAAATGAATGGAATTCCACAGGAAACCCATAGCGATGAAAAGGAAACTGGGACTCAAATCAATGGAGTGGACCAGAAGAAAGCAAATAATGGCCAAACAGAAAAGAGTCAAGGAGCAAGAATTCAAAGAAATGAGGAGAGTCTTAGGAACTTCCAGGACATCTTTAAATGCTCCAATATCCGAATTATAGGGGTACCAGAAGGGGGAAAGGCACAACCACCAGTGGAAAACTTATTTGAACAAATAATAAAAGAAAATTTCCCCAATCTGGCAAAGGAAATAGACTTCCAAGAAATCCAAGAAGCTCAGAGAGTACCAAAAAAGTTGGACTCAAGAAGAAACACACCAAGGCATATCATAATTACATTAGCCAAAATTAAAATGAAGGAGAGAATCCTAGAAGCAGCAAGAGCTAAGGGGACAATCACCTACAAAGGAGTCCCCATCAGACTGTCAGCAGATTTCTCAAAAGAGACCTTACAGGCAAGAAGGGGCTGGAAAGAAATATTCCAAGTCATGAAATCTAAAGACCTACAACCAAGATTGCTCTATCCAGCAAAACTTTCATTTAGAATGGAAGGACAGATAAGGTGCTTCTCAGATAAGATCAAATTCAAGGAGTTCATCATCACCAAGCCCTTATTATATGAAATGTTAAAGGGACTTATCTAAGAAAAAGAAGTTAAAGAAACATGAACAGTGAAAGAACAACAAGCTCACAGTTATTAACAACCACACCTAAAACGAAAGCAAACTAAAAGGACAGCTAGATCAGGAGTGGAAACATAGAAATGAAGATCTCAAGGAGGGTTAGCAACAGGGGAGTGGGAGGAGGAGACGGGGGGGAGAAGGTACAGAAAATAAGTAGCATAGACAGTAGATAGAAAATAGATGGGGGGGCAAGAATAGCATGGGAAATATAGAACCTAAAGGACTTGAGACACATGGACATAAACTAAAGGGGGGTAATGGTGGGGAGGGGGGCAGGGTGGAGGGGAATGAAGGGGGGAATAGAACAACTGTAACAGCATAATCAATTTTAAAAAATAAATTAAAAAAAAAAAAAGAAAACCACATGAAGGTCTTTCAGAGATATGATGAATCCAGTTTTGAGCATGCTGAGTTGGGGGTGCTGGTTGGGGATAGCAGGTCATTTCTTTCCTGGCAGGGAACATGGCAACCAGTGGTGGAGATGCAATGAAAGAGGTGTGAGCCAGAGGATGAGCTTCATTCAGTGAGGCCACAATAGGGCACTGTCACAGAGAGGAGAGTTAACCAAAGCCTGAGGAACACTGATGAGAAAGAGACATCAACACTGTTGTGGGGGAAAATGTCTCAGCAGATTATGGCTCCCGGGGCCAGATGCCAGGTCCTAGCTTTATTCATTCATTCTCAGCCTCTGGCCTAGTGCTGCCTACCCAGAAGGCAATTCTAACATTCACTCTGACTTGATTTCTCTGCATTTTCACTTACTAGAATCCTATTATGATTTATGATTTTAAATGATGCTAGGGGTAATTTTTTACATATAAAATTGTGGCTTCATACAAAAATAAAATATCTATTTAACTCATCAATTACAAGGGAACCAGGAAGATATCACCACCACTTTAAGGAAGAATCCAAAGAGCAGAAACACGCATGATCAGCACTGGTGAAATGAATTTTCTTTGATAGATGCAAATGGATATGCAAAAAATGGAAAACTAGCTCTTTCCAAAAGAAAGAGGGGTACAATTTTTTCCAGTGGACAAAATTCATTTGTATGTCTATCACAATAATCATTTGCATTGATGTCAATTATCTACCATTTATAAAATTGTAATATAGATCAAAGACAAGAAATGCACACAATATCCCACAGAATCAGCCCAGAAATATGCACTGGACAATGACTATTTTTCCTTTTAAGACTTTTTAAACTTTTAGGTTCATGTAAACATATTTCACAATTTTACCTATAATGCTAACAAAAAAAGAATTATCCCTGCCATTTCTATTATTTGAGATGT